TGTAGGAGAAGACAATATCTTAGTAAGTAACATAATCTTTAAGGTACGAGGGAGGCTTGATAATTCTCGACGGACGTGTAGAACGTTGACTAGGCGAATTATCAGCCGTTACTAGTGAGCTATGCTCAACGTTTGGAGAAGTAGTCGACACCATCTGTTCATTAAGTGCATTTTCGTAATGATAATTCTTATCTTTTTCAGCATGATTATATTCAGACTGTGAAGACAGATTACATTCTAATTCCCAATTACGCAAATATGGTTTTTGGGATCGAGGGGCTGCGTATATGTGTCGACGATTTCTCTCTATACTGGATCCATCGGACGTTTCCAATTTGTAAGATCTAGGCCTATCGCAGATATCCACAACTTCCGCAGGTTGTAGTGAATTGTGGGTATCTTTCCTAATTAGAACCTGATCACCTGTTTTAAAGGAATTTAAGTCTTTTGCGGATTTGTTATAATATTTCTTGTAAACATTTTGTCGTTCTTCAAGCATGTGTCGAATATCATCTGGTTTAAAGTTCTGTTTAGAGTTTCTTGTACTTGGCAATATACCTCTAATTTTTCTACCGAACATAAGTTCTGTAGGAGAGGGTATTTTGTCACTTATAGGAGTGTTTCTATATTCAAGAAGTGCAAGATAAATATCTTTTCCGTCATACTCACATTTTTTTAACATTTGCTTGATTGTTCCGACAAAACGTTCTGCGAGTCCGTTGGACTGTGGATATCTAGGACTAGAAGTTTTATGATTAAAATTCCATTTTGATGCAAAATCGCGAAAGTGTGTGTTCTGAAACTGAGGACCATTGTCTGAATATATTAAGAGAGGTATACCAAGTCTCGCGAACATCGATTTAAGATGTATTATAACTGTTTTGCTAGAGGTATCGCGAAGTTGGGCGATTTCCACATACTTACTGTAATAATCTACAGCTAATAAGTACTCACTGCCTGCATAATGAAATAAATCTACACCAATCACTTGCCATGGACCATGCGGTATGTCTCTTGTAATATACGTTTCTTTATGTTGAGCTCTTTGAAAACGTAGACACGCTTCGCAATTTTGTACCATATCAGTAATTTGTTTCGACATTCCGGGCCAAAAGAGGACCTCTCTAGCACGCATTTTACATTTTTCAATACCTAAGTGATTGTAATGAATTCTGTTTAACATTTCTTGTCGTAGTTTAGAAGGAACAACCATACGAGTGTCTTTATAGATTATATCGTCTATCACTGAAAGTTCGTCTTTGTAAGTTAGATATACTTTTATGCTATCTGGAACCGCATGTTTATCTAAGGGCCAATCTGTTTCTATGTATTTTCTTAGTATTTGCATATCAGGATCTAAACGAGTCTCTTGTTGGAATCGTTTATATTGCATATCACTTATTGGTAGATTGTTTTTTATCATACATATTTGTGCTTGGATTTCTTCATTTAATAAAGAACTATTGTCTATTACATAAGCACGAGATAGTGCGTCCGCTATGAAGAGCTCTTTTCCTGGTTTGTATTTTACTTTTATATCATAAGGCTGTAAGGTTAATCTTATACGTTGCAACCTCGCGGGGCACTTATTTAGCGGTTTCGCAAATATAGCTTCTAGAGGTTTATGATCGCTTTCAACAACAACTTGTCGACCATAAATATAGTGATGGAAACGCTTGCAGGCAAATGCTATATTGCTAAAGCCTCCTTTTCAATTTGGGCATAGTTTTTCTGTGTATCGTTTAGTGATCGTGACGCATACTCGACAGGTAGATTGTTCTGTAAAAGTACTGCTCCAAGACCTTCTTGTGAAGCATCTACACTGAGTGTTACTGGCTTGAGAGTGTCAAAATATTGTAGAACTGGAGCAGTTATTAAAATATTTTTAAGATCGTTAAATGTTTTATCGCAGTTCTCATCCCACAACCAGGCTGAATCCTTTTTAACAAGATGCCTTAACTTAGAAGTTTTTTGAGATAGATTAGGAATATATCGTCCTAAATACGTAATCATGCCTAGAAACGTTTCCAACTCTTTTACATTAGCAGGTTGTTTCATTGCCACAATGGCAGTTATTTTATTTGGATCAGGACTAATTCCTGTCTGAGAAAATTTATGGCCCATATACTTTACCTCAGTCAATCCTATTTTACATTTAGACTGATTAAATTTGACGCCTCGTTGTTGTGCTCGTTTTAGAACCTTATTTAGTCGTTCATCATGTTCAATCTTATTTTTTCCAAAGACTATAATGTCATCTAAGTATATTTCAACTCCTTCAATATCTGAAAAAATATCTTGAAAACATTTATGGAATATTTCCGGCGCTGAGGATATTCCATATGGAAGACGTAGGAATTTATATCTACCAAAGGGCGTATTGAAAGTAGTTAGTTTAGAACTGTTATCAGTAAGTTTAACTTGCCAAAATGCTCTATCTGCATCTAATGTGCTAAATATGTTAGCTCCAGCCATTTTAGAACACAAATCTTCGAATGTTGGAATATAATAATGTTCTCTTTGTATTGCTTGATTTAAGTAGTGTGGATCTAGACAAATTCTCAAACTACCGTCTTTTTTAGTGACTAAAACAAGCGCATTTACCCAATCGGTTGGAACATGCACCTTCTCAACTATACCCATGTCTTCCATTTTTTGAAGTTCTGTTTTCAATTGATCTTTGAGTTTATAGGGAACTCTTCTGCATGGTTCTATGTGACCAACGCTGTTTGGTTTCAATGTAATGTCATACTCAAAATTAGAAATAAGT